TTTGGGGAAAGATATTTGCACTTTTCCACCTCTGCACGTGGTGCCAGTGCCCGACAGATCTAACCTGGGTAGAAGAGTTAAGGGCTTCTGAATTGGGAATTGAGAGTTGGCCCAGCTCACAGCCTGGCAACAGGGGCTGTTTTCTTAAGTTGACAGAAGGAGCCAAGTTTGTCTGAGGGACAAGAACTGTGTTGTTTGGATGCTCTGCTATAGCCCTATTAAACGTGGGGGAGGAGGGAGGATTTCCTGTCTGGAGCCAATGCAACAGTGCCCAAGGATCTTGAGGTCTGCCAAGGACATTTGGACAATGAAGTGCTGCAGGTGCAATGAAGTCATGTTTCAGGCCAGCCGTGACCTTGAAAAATAAATCAGAAATGCTAGAGATGTCAAATCAGGCTGTGATAGCTGGAGATGAAAAAGAATGGCCCAGGCAGAATGGGTTGAACAAAGTCCCTTCGCTTCTTGGTTGGTGCAAGGTAGGGTCTCTCTGGTGTCTTCGCTTTTCCTCAGCAAAACGGACAAATGGATAGGAGCTCTGGTTGGGCAGGAGGCTTCCACGCAGGAAATAAAACTGGTACATTTGTTCCAGCCCCTTGCACCTGAGCTCTGCCTGCTTACTGAGAGAATGTTTGTAGAAGGCTTCCTTTTAATCTGTGATGATCCATCAGCTCCTCCTTTTGTTTAATTGTTAATTTTATTCTTCTTCCTAGCTGTTTTTCAAGGCTACAGAATACAGAACTAGCTTAAGGAAATCCAGGCTGATGCAGTTAGCATGAACTAGAGTTGTTGTTCCCAGTTGGGCCTCAGTCCACACTAATAAATCGGAATGAACACTGGAGTGGTTTTCCCTACTTGCTATTAAGTTTTCATTTCATGTGTGAGCTCTCCTTTGGCCTGGTCGTGTCAGAAACTCCCCAGTGTTGGTAAGAGACCTTTAGCACACATATGCTGGGTGGGGTTAAGGAAGGTACACAGCTTTAGAAGTTGACCAGAGATCTACAGGAATGTGATCAAAGGACCCTGCAGGCTACAGCTAGCGAGAGGCGCACCGACCAGAAGCCTGCCTGTGACTCAACTTCCCCAGAGGACAGAACCCTTCTGACATCATCACCTGCACTGAAAAGGGGGAAAATGTGGTAGCAAAGATATATCGTGTACAGTTCCAAATTCCCTATCATGAATGCGATTAATATGCATGTTGAAATTATGCCAATAAGCTTAATAACAGAGAAAAAGGGGGACCACCTAGGAAGATTAGGCAGGGTTGAGAAGCAGCCCTGCTGGATCTGGATGAGAAAAAAATCAACAAAACTCAAAGGTCTCCAGAACCCTTCTTGCAGCCTGGGCAAATTTAAGGCAAGTGTGAAAACAAGTGAGAGTACCTCTTGGGGAACTGATTGTTGAAACTGAACTGAGCTTCAATCTTTTAAAGTTTTCTTATCCAAAATTTAAGAGTGGACAGTGAGACGCAAATAGAGGTGGAAAGTAAAGTCCCCCTTCCCCTCTGCTTTGGAGGGAAATAAAAGGATTTAGAGAACTAGACTGCATAGGAGTTCAGTGATAAGAAAGCAAGGAATGGAAAACCACACAGGCTGGGCAAGTGGCCTCACATTTCCTGAAATTCTGGGTGGAGGGAGGAAGGGAGAGAGCAAATGGGAAGGGAAGGAGGAATTGAAGGGGGAAGGAGGGGTAGAGAGAGACAGGCCATGCCCAGGAGCATTTACAAGTCCCAGTCACAGCTTGTTTCTTTTTAAGCCCCTACACTTGGTGTGTCCACTGTTCTCAAAGGTTCCATTTCTATTTCTTCAAAGAGGACAGAGGGGAGCTCATAAACCCTTTCTCAATGGGTGCTTTAAAAAAGAGGTCTTTGAAAAGATTCTATAATGACTTTGTACCTTAATTTATAACTCTGAACTTGGAGTAGATATTAAAAGTAAAAAATGTGTTTAGGATTGTTTGGTTTGGCATGGAACTCATCGGTAGCCTTGGTCCTTTGAATCAGCAGTTTGTAGTGCACAGGGAACTCGGTGGTTCCCATGGAGAAGGAACAGCGTGTCTGATGTCCATCACTTTATGAGTAGAGGAGTTGGGTTGGTGGTAGGTGTGGGGTAGAGTTGACTTAAATATTCAGGAAAGTTTATTCTTCATATCTTTGCTGTCTTTTGTTAATGTGCTTTTAGATTTATCTCCCATAGAGATATCGGTCCTGATCCTTGGTTTGCAATGTCTCGTAGAAACCAGGAGGGTCCAGCTAGACACCAAGAGGGTCTAGCTAGTCTCAGGTCTCCCCCATCTCTGGAGGTGTTGTGCTCGCCACCTTGTGGTCACTTTTAGTAAGTCCTTTCTGCCTTTGTTAGATCTGTTCTGAGGACCACCATTCCTCCAAGCATTGTTATTCCTGATACCCCACCTTAGCGTCTGACTCTTTTCCTTCCAGAAATAACCATGGAGCCTGTGAATTTAATACATTGGAAACAATCCTAATATGATAGGAAACACGAAGAGGGGAAACTGCCTGGCTCTGTTGGTGAGTCCACTCTAGTCACCTGTAGTTGGTGTTGATGTTTTTGGTACTGTTGTTATTTTTGGTATAAGTGTATATTCTAATACCTCTTCACTAGACTGCCTTTACGGCAATGTCCATTGCTTTTCCTTCTGAGTCCCTTAGGGGACCCTGTGGTGTCCTTGCATCTCTCTGACATTCTCCCCTGGGCAAAGCACAGGTGCTTGGAGGGACAGGATAAGGAACCATCATGAAGAAGCTCAGCACAGAAGTTAGGTGAGTCAAGGTAAGAAGCTTTGAGTTGAGTTGACTAAAGGCCTTGGGAAGATGGTGGGACAGTGTCCTAAAATTGTTTTTAAGAAAACCAACCCAGCAACAAGAACAACAAAATCACCTCAGGAGGAAGTACTTTACTTAACAAAAAGAAACTATAAATCTTTTTATAGAGTGTTGGTGAGCTGATCATTGAAGTTCCTTTCTTGCTTGAAAATTCTTTAAAATGCAGCTAGGGAATGTTGCTGATACTATTTATAAAAATGTCCATAGAGTAAAATGGTTCCCGTGGAAGGCGGGCTTTGGCTTCCCCTGATGGTTCTTGACTTCCTTCTACACGAACTGATGACGCACAGTTACGTCCTACTTCAGCTTTGTGTTGATCAGGCGGGCTGTCCTAGCACACCCGGGTCCTGCTATTGCTTCTACAGACGCAGCTGAGCTTCTTCCTTGGCCTTGTCTTTTCTGGTGTGTGTGTGTGTGTGTGTGTGTGTGTGTGTGTGTGTGTGTGTGTGACTTGACTTTTGAATTAATTTCTCTTTTCCTCCCTTCTTTTCTGTTCTTTCCACGCATGACCTAATTGATTTCTCTCATGATTTCTATTCAAATGTTTATGTCACAGATAAGAATTATTGGTGTTAAAGCTGAAAGGGAGGTTAGAAATACTCTAGTCTAATTGCTCCTGTAGCAGGTGAAGATACTGTGGCCAAGAGAGGTGGGACAAGCTACCCAAAGTCACGCAGCTACATAATGGCAGAGTTTCTCGTTTGGTATGCGGCCTTCTTTTTACTCTTGTCCCAGTGTCTAGCTAAATCTTATTTAGGTTTCTCTTCTAGTTTTTTTGAAGCCTACTATAAACTGAGATACAAAAGTACCACCTACTCCTTTTGATCTAGGTATGTGGTAGATGAGATCATTCTGGAAAGTACTGAATAAGGGTGCTTACAGAACATGGCAGGCTAAGGGCTGGGGGGAGATCGCTCAGTGGCATAAGTACCTGCCTGGCAAGTGCAAGGTCCTGAGCTTGATCCCTGGTACCAGGGCAAAAAAGAAAGAAAAGAAAATGGCAGTCTGGCAGCATCCACACACCCCCTGAAGTGCAATTGTCACTCTAAGGGACTATCCCTTCCTGCTTTTTAAAGCTTGTTCAGAGGGTGGACGTTTCTATTAGAAAATTACCAATCTCAGGCGTATCTAGTCACTGGCTGGCAAAGGCACGGATCCCCCAGTTCTGGCAAGCATGGTTCCTACAGGAAATACAGTGGGGGTCCTGGGGAATGAGAGGGCAAAGGGAGGGAGCTCAGGTCCCAGATGTGAATCTGCGCAGTCACTGCAGGGTGACTGCAGCTGGCATTTGATTTGGAGAAAAGTTGAAAGGTCACGGTTTTGAGAACCCTGGGCTTAAAAGTCCAATCGTGCTGGTGGAGACCACTCATTTCATAACACGGCGGGGGGGGGGGGGGGGGCTGCACTCCTTCCCACCTCACCTTTGGGCTTCTAGATGCAATTTTGTCCAGCACTTTTCATTTTTCCTTTCAAACACAGAATAATAAAAGAAGATGGAGAAAGGCTTCCTATGACCTCACCTCATTAAGGGGTCCTTTCTGTTTCCCACAGGACCAAATTTTCTTTTTAAAAAAGCCCCCGAGCAAATATGCCATCTCCCCCCAGGATATTAGTAGGCAAGTGGCCCACTGGTCATAGAGCTTCTTTAGATGCTTATGAGAGAGCCTGGCCGATGACAGCAATAAGGCCTTTAGTTTGCAAGTTTGAAAAATAATCCATGGCAAAGCCGAAATGAAATAGTAAAAATGGAACTGGGCGAGATCTGTTTTCCATGGGATTTACAACCTCTACGGCAGGGGCTGGGGGGGGGGTGCCCTTATTTCTGCTTCTGTCTTTTCCTCAGAGCTTGACCCTAAGTGCTACAGAAAAAAGCCATCTTCCCCTCCCACCCCCAAAGAAGTTACTGTCTGATGCTCTGAGGGAGAGGAAGTGGCTTCAGGCCCACAAGGACTCAGCCACTGTGTCACCCAGGGCTAGTAGCAGTAGCAGGGAACATCCTAGATTTCAAAACAGTGCCTGGGTGGTAATAGTGTAAGCTTTCAGCTACAATAAAATTAGGCGAAAAATTGCATATGGCTAGAAAAAGGCCAGTGCTCTGGAGGGAGTGTCAGAAATGAGAACTCCAGCCCAGTCCAAGGGATGTGGGCTGTTGGGTCAGGCTGTGGTCGATCTCATTCCTCTTAGGGGTGTTGTTGGCTGGACTCTTTTGCTAAGACTTCTCCTCTGAACTGGTGTGACTACCTGCCCTCCAAGGGCTAGGACCAGATTAGTGACACCTGCACGGTGGAGGCATTTCCAGAAGGTAGGAAAAAGGAGGCATGTGCCTATCACGCTAACGATTGTACTTCATGACTTGTCTTTGAATTGACCATTTTAGTGAATGTCCCACTTTTCCTCCCTGGCAGGAAAGGAGGGGAATGTTAGGGATGACCTGCAGAGAGGAGGAGACCGCAGTGTTGGGGTCAGGATCCAAGCAGCAGAAACCCTAGCAGACAGTAGTCAGCCGACTGCTGCCACGTCCCTGCTTCCTTCAGATACCCTTAACGTGTGGCAAAGCACATTGCTATCACCCTCCCCCCTTGTATCATATTATAAAATACAAACAAATGACAGAAAAAATCGTTTGGCTTGCGACTGCCCACTGCTCAGAACTGTAAGGCCCGCCGTTTCCTTCCTGATGAGACACGGTGGTTGTAAGGCCGCATCTTCATTTCCACAAAGGGTATGGAGAACTCGTGCCCTTTCCAGTGGTACCAGTTGATCCCCTGGACACAAGACAGACAAATGTATCAGCTCAACCTTCCCTGCCTTGGATACCTGTTGTGAAAGGAAGCGGGGTAGCGGGAATAGGCAACGCAATAGTTGTGCGTGAACCAGTAACTGGAGGTGACTCAAATTCCTAGTGGTTTTGGAGACAGCATTTGCTCATTCCTGATAGGACACTCAGTCTACCTGGATACCTGGCTGCTGAGTTTGCCTATAACCAAGGACTTCCCCTAAGGCCTTTTGGTGTCAGAACCAGGGTTGTTCACTCAGTCCAACTGTCCCTGTTATCCAGCCTCGCCTGTAGACTTGCAGTCTGGGCAAAAACTGTCTGGCTCCCGCATTTCTGAACTTTCCCTGCCTGCGGCACTCAGCATGAAGTGGAGCCTTGGAAACTATTTCTAGAATGGATTGACAATATCATTGTCTCTGTCATCTCCTCCCTTGAGGAAATGAAAGGGAAGCCTACTGGTTATCAAGGGCCAGCCTGAGTGAGTTCTAGTGTCTTCCCAGAGGAATGCAAGGGTCCCGGACCTTGCTCTGGCTTCTACTGTATGCCGTCCCTATCCCAGTGTCTGTTACACTTTTATAAATAATCTAAACATTTCTTTTAAAAGAGTAAAGTAGGACTCACATGGGCACTAAAATCAAGCTGGGGCTGTGGGTGCTGATCTCCGAGCCGCTCACAGTGCAGCAGATTGCCACCTACCTGGCTGTGCCTGGATTCGCCATACTTCCCATTGAGGTTGGTCCGGTGGCAGTTTTTATACCACCAAGCGCCCTTGTATGACATGGCACAGTTAGTGACAGCAATATCATTGTCTCTGTCCTCTGTGGAGAAAGGGCGTCCCTGGTGATAGCTGAGGGAGTCTCCTGTGAAAAAGAGCATGCGTGAGGCTGTGCTGTGTGTCTCTCTTTCCAGGATTTTTGGACATTTGACTCCCAGGAAACCTGGATTCCACATAGGGAGTCTTCTCCTCCTCTCCCACTCCCCTCCCAAGCCCAAGCCCATAGTGGGCTCTCTCTCTCTCTCTCTCTCTCTCTCTCTCTCTCTCTCTCTCTCTCTCTGCTTTTACCCTGGTGTTGCTACCTGAGGGGGTTGCTCCCTCCATCCACATCCTCATCCCAGTACCTTTGCTAAGAGTTCTGCCCATGCAGTCCAAGTCAGTGCCCTGTCTTTTTCCTCCAGGCTTGGCTGGAGACAGAGCACTCAGGGCTCCAGTTGCCGTAGGGCTGAGCCATCCTGACTGGGGCCAGTCAGGTTCTGCCAGGATTCCATATAGCCCAGGTCTGACCACACCCCCGAAACCCACATTCAGAACTTGGTGCTGCCTGTGAAGAGGAATATTATCATACCTCCTATGTGAAACAGGGATAAAGAAAAAAAAATTGTAACTGTGTCAAAGGAGAAGGGTTGGAAATGGCTACATCTTGAGGAAGGCAAGGTTCCATGGATCCTATCATCAGATATCTGAGGGATTTTCTTTTCTATTTAGTACATGGTCTATAGGGTCTCACTACGTAGATCGGAGTCATAGTGATGCTCCTGTTTTCAGCCTCCCAAGCACTGGGATTACAGGTGCATGCCACTATGCCCGGTCTCAATCACCGCTGCCTCAGTGTGCCCCAGGGGTGGGCCTGGCTCAGCAGGTCAAGGATACGAACCCCGGTCCCTGTGTCTGCCTAAGCTGGCACTTTAGTCCACTGAGCTATCTGGCCAGACCATCTGAGGGACTATTAAAGCAGTGAAAACTCTGCAGAAGTGTGAAGATTGGTCGGTAGAGACTGTTAAGAGCAATATTTTGGCAATGAGGATAAAAATCACCTACATATCAAAGCTGCTCTCAAGTGGTAGAGATTGCTGAGACCTATAGTGAGATTTCTATTCTCAGAGGCAAACAGACTGGTGCTCTGTCTGCTGGGGGTGTCGCACAGGACGCTGCATGCATGGAGGACCGAAGGTAAAGGCTTAGGCCACTGTTCCTTCATAAGGACCACTGGAATGTGTGGCAGGAGTTTTGGCTAGGGATACAGTGAAGGGCTCATGCTGTTTATTAAAGTAAAGTGACTTTAGATGTGTTAGAGGTTATTTTATGGTACAGGAGATGGAGTTCTGGTCGGCTGCTTTCGGAGTTCTGACTGCAGGGTCCACTCAGCTCCTCCACCCTCCGCTGGTCAGTCTCCTCCTAGAGGGAAGTCTGACCCCCAGCTAGTCCCCAAGGCAACGAGTCACTGCCTGTATTCCATTCTCTTCATCTTCTCCTTTCAGTCTCCCAGGATTCACACCTTGTGTCATCTAAGGCTAGTCTCACCTCCTGAAACTCATTCTCTATCTTTTCCCCAGCCTGGAAAAGACAGAAACAATTTCTTATCCTCCCCCATTTAAAAAAAAAAAAAAAAAAAATTCACCTCCACTTACTAGAAATCATGCATATGCCCGTTAGCTTAAAGATTATTGGGTTAATTCTGCTCCACAATAATCCTTTCTTTAACCATCAATTCCTTGTCTGTGCTGTCTCTCCTCCCACATTTCCATCTTCTCATCCCTCCTTTTCCCTCTGTGACCAGGAATTTGTCCTCAGTGCTCTGCTGGAATGAGCTCTCCAGTCTCCACTTAAATCCTGCCTGCTGCTGCCTTTGAGTCCTCCCTCCCCATCTAGTCAGCACACGAGCCAAGTCCTTGTTTCTCCCTGCTGAACCACATTCAGGTGCACCTCTTTCTTTTAATCCCCACAGGTGTCAAGCGTCCTGTTCTCTCCTGTCAGGATCAGTGTAGAAGCCAACACCTCGTCTCTCTGTTCCTTCAGATTTACTTCACCCTGCTTAGGGCCGCCCCTCTGACCTTCCTTAAATGCCACATGCACTGTCGCCCTCAGGACTTATGAGGCACCCCTTGCGTGCCACACGAAGACTGACTTTCTCTACTGTCTCAGGTCTCCCCTCCTCTACCAATTTCTTTCCTTCCTTCTGAGCTTCTCCTCTGCCTGGGATAGCCAGGCCTGCCACAGCCTCCTCCCTTCAGGGAGCTGCTCCTTCTGCAGCTTCTCATCCCGGGGATGATGTCCTCACCATTTGGATCTGCCACAGGCAGCTTCCTCAACTGCCAGACCTCCTTCTCCGAGCATCCCGTAATGGAAAGTGAGTAGTGTTGATTGTATAGTGACTTCCTAATTATTTTTAGTAGGTTTAGTTCTTAAAAGCCCACATTTTATGTTTAAGTAGTCCTCACAAGTTGCACAGTAAACCTCTAGGACTTGCTCAGCAACTTCTTATTGATAACTTGATTTGGGATGTTGATTTCTAACTCAAGTACTATCCTACTTAGAGGCTTGTCCTGAGGAAGGGGAGTAGAAGAAGGGGCTGAATGTGGATTGGAGAGTCTGGGACAGTTCTACTAATGGGGCCAGCACTTCTTGAGCAAAAAGTCAAGATAAGGGCCAGGGAACTGGGTAGCATTAAAAATGCCAGATGGAGAATGGAGGGCCCAGTTCACGGGTATTTTGCTGAGTTTACACACCTATAATATTCAAATAACAGAACTTAACAAAAAAAAGGGGATATAGATGAATGTCTATTTTGTATCTGTGTATTCATAGTGGTTAGGATAGATATATAGCTGCATTCTCTTAATGAATAGAGGGATTTATTTTAATGGTGTTTGTAAATAGGATATCATGTCTGCATCTTGTACAGCAACTAACCACTAGGAAGAATGTATGCAATGTGTTAATTATTGAAACTGTCCTACCAATTTGGTTTGAAACTGTCTCATCGCTATTGGTTTCTCAATAAAATTATGGGAAAAAAACTCCTAATCAGGGCTGGTGAGATGGCTCAGTGGTCTAAAGCACCTACTTGGAACAAGCTTAGCAAAGCACAGGGACCACGGTTCAATCCCCCAGCACCACATGCCAGCCAGCCCCGCCCCCTGGTGGGCTGAGCTGGCCACACACATACACACACACAAATAAATAAATAAAATAAAAAAAAAGAAAAAGAAAAAAACTCCTAATCATAAAAAAGGAAAATGTGTTTGTCTTTTTCTGTTGTCATTTTTTAAGCAAATGTTTACATAGAGTCACATGTTCATTTGCCAGGTATGCCTTTACTGTACCTTTAATGTATAAATTTATTTTCTTTTGGTTTTTGTTATCTAGAATACTGCCTTGGTCGCTGTAATGTAATTTCTATTTCTGCATCTTTTTCACATTTAAAACCATTCAATAAAACATCTATTTACTTAAAAAAAGAGAATGGAGGGCCCATTCCTCCCTGGAAATCTGCTGGTCTAGAAAGAACCACCATTGTGTGGAGTTGCCAAGAGAGGCATGTGGCTTAATAGGTGGCTGACTTTTTTATCTCCTGATGAGCTAAATATTCAAGATGAAGAAAAGTCATAATTAACTTTTCATCTTGGGAGAATTTGTCTCTGACACATAAGAGTCAAATTCAGCCCCAAAGTTCTGCCTTCTGTAGGGACTTGCAGGGGACGAAGGGCTGGGACAGAGGTAACAGAGTCAGGCCTCAGTTAGACTTGCAGTGAAAGGAAGAGGCAGGAAGAAGGGAAAATGCAGGGAAGAGGGAGGGCTTGCTTCCTTTCCTGCAGGAGAAGTAAGAATGGCTTTTTCTCAGGCACAGTTCTAATCCTGGGGAGTGAATAGCATCTGGTTATTTTTGAAATTTAGTCTGATATCTTGTTTAATGCATCCATTGGAATAGCTATTCTATGCTTAAAAAGTGACAAATTGGACCTTTTGTTGGGGCTCCTTAGGCTCATCTGATTGTCATTGTCAGTGATCTCCAGTATAAACAATAACAAAGGAAGGTGCGCCTTTGGAGTGACAATACTGGGCCCTTTGGAGTGACAATACTGGGCCGAAAGGACAAATCACTGAGCAGATTCAGTCACTGGGGGGGCAACACCTCGAATGCTCATCTTAATTTCAAGAGGTGTAAAAATGTTGCTCAATTTAAACTCTAGTCTTTAGCTCTAAAATTGGAGTTAATTAAAAGGCCAGTAAGTCCATGTACCGGGCAGTAGAATATTTGGCACCTTAGACTTTATGAAAGGTGTTATAGTAGAACACAAGAAACAGCTTAGCCAAGTCTGAGAAGTGGACTGGGTATTGTGTGTGGATGGAACCAAGTACCAGGGAGTTGATAGGGATGGTGGCTCTGCCCGTGGAGATGCCAGACAGAGAACCTGACTGTGTGCTGGGCTCTGTGGGAGGCGTGAGAAGCACACAAGGGGCATTTAGGCGATGTCTTTGTCCCTCGATGGGGCATTATCAGGACTGCTGATGGTGGGGGTGGGAGGGGAATCCTAGGGGCTCAGGATCTGTATTAGTTTCACCAGTTCAGAGATGGATTCCTAGATGCCATTGCAGGAAGGTTTTTCCCCAAGTGAGAGATGGCTCTGTTCCTTCTGGCTGAGGGAATATACTCATTAATCTAGATAAGAAAAACAATGCTTTGTTCTCTCTCATGATACTTTTTTTTTTTTAATTTTAAGGACCCTTTCATGGCATTTATTGCATTTTTTTCTACTCTGTGAAGTGAGATGGACATCATCATCACAGTTTTCCAGATAAGGAAACTTAAAGTCCTGAGAAAGTGGCTTACAGTGGCCAAGATGGCTAGCTGAGAGTTCATGAGCTGTGGACGCTACTGCCTCTGCTGCAGCCGTACCTGACACACAGAGCCCCTGGCCTGCGCATGCCACTGCCCTCCGGGTGTGCTTAGGGCCCAGGTACCTGCGGTGCCATTGTAGCTTCCTATGCGGAGTTTGTACAAGCTCCTGCTGTCTTCCACAGAGAACTTGTCGTAGTGGGCGAAGGCGGCCTCCTGCCCATCCCGCATGTCCACGCGCAGCTCATAGCGGCCCTGGGCTGTGATCCTGTGGATGTTGTCCAGCCCTGTGGGGAGGAGCAGAGGCTGTGCTGAGCCTGGCCCTGCAGCTTGGGGGATGGCAGGGAAGACTGGCTGCATCTTCAAAACAGATGCTGAGGGAAGGGGATTGCTTTTGCTCCCACCACATCTTGGGTTCTTTTCCAACAGCCTCTGACAGGCTCCACACTTCCTGCTGCAAAGAGGCATCCAGATCTGCAGATGATGCTACCGCGGACAGCTCAGGTCCTTATCCGTAGTTGTGACCTAGTAAGTGACAAGACCTGAGCCTTCTATACCCAATCACAGGATGAACAGAAAGCGACAAGTGGTTTTGTGGGTCTGAGTCTTTGGTGTTGGTGGGAGAAAGCAAGACACAGAGACACCGGAGGGTACTGAGCACCCTAGCTATTTGGACACCTTAGTGTTTTCTAGGAGTCTGTGAAGGAGGTGCTAGTCTTTCATTACACTGGCCCTCCTGCCTGCCTCCAGGCTTCCTGGGGCTGTCAGAGCCAGGTCAGAGAATATGGCTAGTCTTGAGTTTATGGCGATTCAGCTTACTATTTTCTGGCTCCACAGTGGTGTGGTGGGAAAGCCTTTCACATTTACTGGAAACTGCACTTGGAGCTCTGAATTTTGATCTTCCCCTAGGTAGTGATTTGCAGCATGATGCTTTCTCCTGAGGCTGAGCAGAGGAGTGAGCACAGCTTCCAGCCCACTGAATGACATGTTGGTGGACAACCCTACTCTACCATGCATTACAAGCATGCTGCTAAACCCAAGGCTCTGCAAGGTACAGGTATTAAATATACTTTCAGCTTCAAAAGATTTTCAACTGGGGATGGGTCTCTCAGGTTGTAACCTCTATCGCTGGTTAAGGAGCCTCTGTGTTCTTCTCTGCCTCCTAACTCCAGCTCTTCAATCTAAACCTGCCCACCACATCTTACATTGCTGCCTCTTCACTGGTCCTCTAGCCAGTGATCCTGTGCTCTCATGCCCTCTCTTTGGCCTCTGAGCAGCCCAGGCTTTGGGCTAACTGATTCTTTTAAAGTGCAAAGTCTTCCAAGTTTGGGATTAGAGTGAGTGGAGCCTAGATCCTTCTTGGTGAGATTTTCCCTTATGTTTTCTTGTGCTTTCTTCTGCAAATCTCTGGTTTTTGACCTACCAGCCCAAAGTCTGGACCATAGTGCTCTCCCAATCCTAATCTCTCTCCACATGCTGAAGTGGGATCCTCTTTCTTTGCCATGACATCTGACATCTACTCTGTGTCACAATTTAGAATCAGAGAATCACACAGATGGAGGGGAAACCGTCATTCAATCCTTTCCTTCCTCCATGCCTTTGGTTAGACCTTGTTCAGTGCATGGGGGTGGAGAAGCTGGCCTTCTTGCTCCAGTGGGCACTGACTTCCAGGAGCAGTTCATGCTCCACTGCTTCCCAGGGATGAGAGTGAAGTGAGTCTCTGTCCAAGGCTCATTTTTAATAGCTTTTCTGGTTCTATCCTCCTCTTCTCTCCTCACAGAACCCCCACCCCAGCAATCACTCACTTGAACAAGAAGAGCTCTCCGCATTAAATACTGAACAAGAATCCTTGTCTCAAAATCATTGTCTAAAGAACTCAAATTAGGACATCACCCCTGGGTGGCAGCATCGTCTCCAACCTGAGTACTGCTGCCACTCACCCACGGCTGGGCCTCACCTCTGCTCAGGAGCCCACCCTGGCTCTGTTACACCATCAGACCCCTCTGATTTTTAAGTGCTGTTGCATGCCTCCATTCAACACACCTGATCTCAGTTTCCTCCTGGCTTGCCTGTGCCTGGGGTTTCCCACCCGCCCCCGGTTTGCTTGTGTCAGGACTCCTGCCTTCCCTTCGCCACTCCTCTGGCTCATTGCTCAGTGCCTTTACCAGGAATTTGCTGCTTCTCCTCTGAGTCTCTGTGGCCTTTGTAATAGTAGCTCACAGGTTGGCACAGCGTTTCCCTGTGTGGGAAGGAGTCTCTGATGATATGTGAAATGTGTGAGAATAAGGCACTAAATGAACTTGAATATCCAGGGAGAAAGCTCTGTCCAAATTTTGGAGAATTACCCTCTCCCACCCTAGCCGCAACTCAAAGCCTCAGTTCAGCTTGTGCTTTGTTTAACACACAGGACCTTTTGAACTCCATTTTTAGTACCATCAGCAACAACAACAGCAACAGGCTATATTTAAATTTCATTTAATGGTATTATTATTATTTCATTTTTATTGTCTTCCTTTTTATGGCATGTGACAAGTAGCATTTTTGGCAAAGCTGTAGAATTTCCTTAAGAATAAATTTAATTTAGATATTAATTAGATTAAAAAGTGGCATATAGAAAATTTGAGTGCTTGATAGTTGATCTATTTCATAAGTATGACACACACTGTGAAAGTGGCACACAGTGGCATAGTTCAGGACAGAAGTTCCTGTCTGCGCTGGATACACTGATTCACGTGCATTTCCCCTGCCTTCCACACTGTTTGCAAATGCTTTAAAGGTAAATATATTTCCCTATTTGTTTGACTCCTCTCTCAATGTGTTTATATGCCTTTTACCTTTTATTTTTATTGCCTACACTGGCAAACACAGATTTAGTTTATCGTAGGTACTCAACAAATTCTTATCATTGCTTGATTGATATCAACTCTTTGAGTACCAACCATTCTCTATGCATTCGAACAGGCAGTGCAGCTAAAAGAGAAATATGAAGCAGCCCCGAGAGAAGCTTATATAAGCAAGAGAGACAGGAAGAAACACGGGCACTATGACTGGGCCACAAAGGAGAATGGGCAATCCTCCCCTGGCAACAGGTGAAATAGTTGGACCAGGTTCTCTAAAGATAGAACAGGTCAGTTTAGTCTTCGGATATGTGCAGCTGGATACCATGGTAATAGGGGCAGGAGCTGGCAGAGAGTGTTCCTGACAGGAACCTCAGTGGTTCTGTGGGTTTGTTTGGAACTTGGTTTTGGGACGATAGGAGGAGGAGTGGGTGAGGTGCTTCGGCTCTAGAGGGAAAGGAGAAAGGCCTTGGATTGTGGCCAAGGTATCTGGTCTTCATGGCAATAATGAGGAGTCATTGAAAGGCTTTACAGAGATGATTCACCCTTGTTTAACTCTAGTGGGTAAGGAAGATCGTTGGAACAGCTGCATGCACAAAGTGCTGGCCTCGGATGCTGGGAGGCCAACAAAGGACTTGTTGGCTGGGCTCCCATCAGAAGACAGTGTGGCTTGGCCCAGATCAGGGCAGGGGAAATGGAGAGGAGACCGCAACACAGCACGTGATTGCTTACTTTTTCCTCTGCTCCTCTTCATCTGTGGCTATGAAAACCTAAAACCTAACCATGCAGGAGAGATAGGCAATCCTATGAGGACTGCCTTCTGGATGGGTGCCACCGTGACCTGACTGGGAGGGATGTGTGGTAACCTTCTCATTCCAGTTCAGTTCTCCATCAAAACCTGCTGTTGTGTCAGACCTCTAGGAAACTGCTAATTTCCTCTGAAGATATTTTGCTTTTTGTCTTTCCTTCCTGCACTAGGTAATAACGTTTTCCAAGGACCTGAGCAGAAGGATGAGCCTCCTTCCCCTCTTGACTGGCCTGCTGGCTGGTTCCTGGCACTGGAGAGGAGGCCAGCCTATGCAGTACTCCTCACCCCCTTCCCTACCAGGCAGCTCACTGCCTCTGGACCTGCTTCCTGTCGAGACCTATCAGCATAAGAGACTATTAATGAGGATGGGAAGAGACAGAGCAAAGAGGAAAACACAACCATGAGATAAAAACAGATCAATAGTGGAGCCCAACAGAGCAAGAGATGCTGAAAGCAATTCGCAAGCTGTCAACTTCTCAACGGACAGGAGGTTTCTGATAATCCCAGACAAACACAGAAGAGAAAGAAATGGACAAAAAGCCAGATCAGCACACCAACAGCAAGGGGAAAGCAGGTGTTACCTAACCAAAACTCATCCTCCAGGTTCCCAAAGCCAACACGGTAATCAGCCCATTTCCGGAAGAAATCAGTTTGGCCATTCTGGCGCCTCTGGAATACCTGTGAAGAGAAGCGGGGAGAGTGAGGAGAGACTGGGGAAACTGCATGGCACAAACTGCAAGGACTCAAATCGATATCACTGGGTTCTATACAGACAATGACAAAGATTTGCAGATAAGGGCCAGAGCTTGGCATTTACACAGCAACTTGTGAAACAGGTGTTTAGAATCTGCCTGTGGAAGAGCAGAGGCCCCAGCAGATGAACAGGCTGGAGGGTGACACTGATATCCCCCGCACCCTTGCAACATAGAAAGGATTCAGATCAAGCTCCCGAGGAGTCAGGGGAAAGAAGTTTGACTCTCAAATTAATCTTTCACACCACATAGTAGGAAAGCATTTCTCACCAAAAGAATAGGCCCAACTTCAAATCAGCTAGTCACTGTGATCTTACTGCACACAAAGCAACTGCATATCCTTCACATTCTGAGCTGTTTAAGTGCTAATTTCGTTTAACCTCTAATATATCAGCTGCAGTTTGAATTTCCAATTATGGTTTAAGGAGGAGGCACAAATATGTCAGAAACATAAAAGAAAATGTTTCCCCAGAGTGGCTGTTATGAGCGCAGCCTCCATTTAACACTGTTCAAAATTTTCCCATTTTGTAACATGGAAAATCTGGCACTGCGTGTTCTAGTGGTGCTAGTGGAAGATGTACAGGAAACTTGGGGTGCTGGAATTGCATCCCCACCAATCATGTCAGGGGCCAGGCTGTGCTGTGAAACTCCTCTGAAGTGAGAGGTGGGGCTGTGAGGCTGCCCCTGGCAGGCACAGGAGGAAGGCAGGCAGCAAGTGGTATCTTTCTTTTCCTGAAAAACAGGTGTTCCCCAAAGGTCATAACCAAGGAAGAGCCACTGCTCTGGGGAAGGAGGAGCAAAGGGACAGCTCTTGAAACTAGAGGTAGCCTTTGAAGTTCTGCTTCTCAGCTGCTCCCCTCCAAGAGAAGGAGCCAGTACCTCACCACAGGGTCTTGTGCCAAGGGCCCCCTCCTCTACTGCATTGTTACAGCTGCTGTCATCAGCATGCAAGATCTGAGTGGCTCCCATGAGTCACTACTGCTTCTCCCCAGCACTGTCCTCGAAAAAGGAGCTCGAGGGAAGGCAGTCATCCTGGACATCTGACTTTGGCTTAGGCCATCTCAGCCTTCAGATGCTACTTTCTGTCTCCGCTTTACCCCATCTGTGGTTGGGGTGCTGCCTTAGGCCCTCGAGGCAAGGAGGGATCCCAAGGTAGGCATGAATGGAGTGGGTCAAAGGATGGCTGGAAGGAGGAGGGAGTTTGATGGACAGATGCTGAGCTGTCAGACCAGGACCCTGATGATGTTCGCGTGTGTGCAGAGTGGCTGCGTGTACTTACAATCCAACCGCCCCCATCCGTGGTCATGTCACAGTATACTTGCAGCTTCTGGCTGAGCTCTCCATTGAGAAAGATGGTGTAAACCCCACTCAGAGTGTCTCCATTCATCAAATGCTGGGCACAGTCTTGAGGATGAGAGAACAGCCGGCCCTCTGCATGAGAAAAGAGGCAATTTCTGGACAATGTCCTTTTCCCTGCTGTGTCAAGAGCTGCTTGGATCAGAGAAAGCTTTACAGGGCCTCACAGCTGGTACTTTAGCAACTGTAAGAAATTCTTAGTGGATTCAAGCAGGGGATGGATGAGCGTGAGAACTTTGCCTTTTTGTAATTTCCTCTTTTCAACTGATGCTGCATTTATTGGACAATGATTTTATGAAATATGGAGACCAAAATGCCGAATTCATGGTTTGGCTTCTCTACTTAACTATTTGCTTGATTTTAGGCAAATAGCTCAACCTCTGTGAGCATCGTCTTTCTCTCCAGTGAAATGGGAGTAATGAAGATCTCCCCTTTGTAGGTGGAGACGTTTTTTAATAGAGCTAGTGACTGGGTGGGTACTTAGGAGAGATGACAGATGCACAGGCCAACAAATCAGTGCAGCGCCCATCTTCCAAAAGAGTGAAAGGCATCTAAGTGAAGCCTTCTGTCATCTTCCCTCACAGCAGCCATTTAGGCATGACCAAACCACCTCAGCATTAGTGAGTGAGAAGATGGATATCTAGTCCTTGTGCACAACAATCCCCTGATTGTACTAAACAATCAAATGGCCATGTTTTACAGTTTGGTTTAAGTTTAAGGAGAGGGCAGGGGAAGAAAATTGCAGCTCATCTTTCAGAGAGAACAGCCCAATTTGTAGAACAATATCTAATTAGCTCAAAGAGAAGCTTAAATCATGCATCTTGAAGAGCTCAGCTTTGGGACACATCATAGTGCTTAGCAGGCAAGCTAAGAAAGGGAGAGCCTAGCAGAAGAGATATTCTGGACAGCAGGGGTGGATCGAGCAAGCGGAAGGCAGAGCTTGATGTGTAGGGAATGGCAAATGCAAGGATCTGCTAGGTGAATGAAGCGCATGCTGTAGTTGATACGGTTCTATATCCTTGACTCTTTAACAGTTAGGAAGACAGACAGTAGAAGGGTCTCCCGTGATAGTCACTACTGTGTCCCCTGGTGGCAGAAGAAGCACACTACAGTTATTATTATTGTGTAGTTAAGTACACTACAATTATTATTCCTTTTCACTAGTGTGACCTAGGGCCACTTGGAAGGCCAAGTGATGGGTCAGAGTGTCACAGTAGGTTTCACAAGGAAGTGACATAGTAATCTCTCTGAAAGACTTGGTCATCTGAGCCCCGGTCCCAAGTCATCAGTGAAGCATCCATCCTGTGTTAGGAGGAGGTTGTGTGAGTTTGATAGATGTCACATAAATCGCTCTGGAGGTGAGTTAACTCCTGGTGCAAGGACTGTCTTTTGGCTTGTGGTTCCCACACTGTTAAGGGGAGCACTCAATTCAGGTGGTTTGAGACAAAGGCACTGCTCACTTCAGAGAATAGCAATAGGTTTCTATAATACTTGTGCTTTACAAGGTACATTTTTATTTTTACTGAATTCTTGCAAGAAACTTGAAGGCAGGTTGGTATAATCAGAGACTTGAGAAGGAGATGGCTCAGAATGATCGTGTAACTTACTCAGGTCGCTTGGTCTCAGGTTTGCAGACCTCTGGCCACCTGCTCCAAGTACGCAACTAAAGCAGGAAACGTGACATACACTTTGATTCCTGGAGCCCAACACTTAGCCACATGGCAAAGAGTTAACCAGTGTGTGTACTTATCTCACAGGCATATAAAATCCCCCAAAGATGCCTCAATATGTTGTATGCTCAAGTTAAGGCTTTACCTTTCAAAACTGACTTCCCTAATCTAAGAGCTGCATGAAAGCCATTTGTTTTTCTCTCCAGCATGCCATAGAACTCTGTAAAGTTCTTGATTCCATTTTTTCCTAAGAGGTTACAGCTGTATTTCAGGTGAGAGGTGTTAGTGGCCTCTGTCTCCTTTCCCTGATGCTTTGGGAGCATGGATGCTATTGACAGGCTATTCTTTCTTTTCAATGCTATGCAGGACAAGCTGGCTTTGAATTCACAATGTAGGCCAGTTTGTCCTTGAGCTCATGGTCATCCCCCTGGGTCAACTTCCTGAGGGCTGGGATTACAGGTGCACCACCACCTCTGACTTCCAGGCCATTCTTGATCTGGTATCTGGAGCAATGAGCACATCTGTCTTCTCTCTCCCCTCTTCTCTAACTGCCTGAGCTCCTAATTTTAGATTAGCATGTAATATTCCTGGCCTTCACTTCAGTCCTACCGTGTGCATGAATAGCTTTTTCTCATAAAGAAAATTGCTTAATTCAATCTCAGGTCAGCTTCCTAAATTTCTCCCCAATATCCAGTGAGTCTTCAACAAAACATTTCCCTCAATCTTCAGAACAACAGCATCATTCAAACACACCAATAAAACCAAACCAACCTTCAGAACAGGGAAATATATGATCTTATATAAGCTTCTTCACATTGATAATATTGATTAATATGTTACAGATATTTTCAAAGGGCTCAAACATGTTGCGTTAAAGCTGGACTTAATACAAAAAAACTAGAATAAACTGAGATGACTTGTCCTGGAGAAGGGAAATTTAAAATATGTATGTGAGCAACTGTCATACAAAAGAAGGATTTATGTTATTTTAAAGTTAGAAAGTGGAAATAAATTCAACTTGAGAAAAAAGTGTTGACTGCAGGGGTGTCAACATGGGCTGAGATAAATGTCATGGATGGTGCCCGAGGACAGGAAGCAACACACTTTTCTTCTCCTTCAACCCTGTGCTAAGCTGGCTGGTGAAGGTGTTTCTCACGTGTGCTTGAGGCTGGTGCATTACTGGGTATGTTTGCTACACCCTTGTTGAATTGCAAATTCTAGTTCTTTGTATTAAGTGGAGACTATATTTACTGCATCTGAGTCTGTGGCAGTAGTGGAAGGATAATTAAGAAGCATTTTGCCTTTATAGATGCTGAGCAGCAACCTGGGATTTGCCCATCTTGGGAATTTGAAGTAGATGCAGGGCTTCCCACGACACCACCTTTCCTAACCCATGCTAGCTCTCAACACTGCCAAGCTTTGCTGTGTACTCACAGGTCCTGGATCAAATTATTATTCCTTTTCACAAGATACGAGAAATCAGAGGCTATAATTGTTCTTGTGTTTTTGGTACCAGGGATCAAACTTGGGACCTCATGCTTACCAGGTAGGAACTTAGGCTGCTGAGCTATATCCCTGGCCTGAGGCTATAATAGTTCTAAATTGAGGGCTTTATTAAAATTAAAACTCAGATTTCTGTGTCCTATTGCAGATCTGTTAGACTAGAAGGTCAAGGGGTAGTCCCTAAGACTTGTAGGACAGAGTCTCCGGTGTGTCTAAAGACCAGCTGGATTTGCATTTGTCTCATTGTAGAGTATGTTATCCTCTCCTTAGAGAGCCCCCAAAGCAGAAGTGATAAACTAGATAATGCTCCAAGGGGGCTGTGGCTGGTGCTCTACTGTCTTTGACTAGATCCATATGATTTGGTGGATGACTGACTGAATAGCACCTGCCCTTCTCTGTCTCCCCTCCTCCTTCTCCCTCTTCTCTGCTTCCTTCCTCCATCCTCCCTTGCTCCCTTTTGTTCTCTCTCCCCTTCCTTCCCATTGTCTTTCCCAGTTGGTATGTCCTGAGTGGGCTTTTGCCAAGACTTAGGTTGGATTGGATGGGACAGAGCGGAAACCAGAGGCTCTGTTTAAGCTTTGTGAGTTAGTTCTTACCATTTCTGTCTGCTTTGGGGGTTCCTGGACTTTGGGTTAGCTAATAATTAAGAGCATACCAATTCTTATTCTGGTGGTTTGGCTCAGTGTGCATGTACTGGGGTTTCATACACTGTAGGGGATTGTTGGGTCTACTTTGAGATCTGACACCACAATGTTTACTATTTGGATGCCACATCGCTTGCTATCATTTTTAACCCTAATACAGATTATCCCAGAAAAATTATCAGAGGTAGAAATTTCAGTTCCAAAAGAAACCTTTTCCCTCCTCTTTCATGCAATACATTGAGCCTGGCCTGAAACAGAAACTTTTTTTTTTTTTTTTACCACCCTGGTGGTGGTGATTACCAAACTCACAGGGAAGAAGTGTCGAGTGGGCGCTCCACTGAAAGGTTTCATGGTTAAATGTTTCTAAATGTAATTGTGAGATCAACAGTACCAGGGCACTCACTGGAAGAACTGCTCGGAAATTGGTTTGTGTTGAGCATCAGAGGCTGAATGCTGAGTGGAGTGCAGCTATCTGGGAGACACACAGCGCAATCAGATGGCTCCCTGCGGCTGCAAGTGGAGGAAGGAACTGTCTCTGTCCTCGCCCTGCCCTTAGTTGTGTTGTGTGCTGGGGTACAGTCTTTAAATGGCCGGATTTAAAAGCTCTGGAGACTATCTGCCCACTGCCCACTCTAACAGCCTCAGCTCCAGCACCGAGGCTGTGACATCAGCACTTTTCTCTGAGCACAGTCTCAGCAGGCTTCTCTGGAAGTGCCGGACAAAGCATAGCACATCACAGAAGTACAGGTGACCTCGTTTGTTCCAAGTGCTTTGATTCTTTTCCCCCCAGAAGTGGGTTTGTGATTGACTCTCCTTCAGCCTTCTGTGTTATAATTTTTTTAATGTTCATCTTTTTTTTTTTAAAAAAAGAGAGAGAATAAAAAAAAAAAACCTAATGGCCCACATTTGTAAAGTAGCAGGCTAGACTGTTGGGGGCAGTCTGAATCCATGACAGGGCAAGGCTGCCCCTTCAGCCCATGGGAAACCATTTTAGTCTTCTCACACAGCATCTTCCAATTCACTGGCCTGTTTATTCTCTCATGTATTCATTCAACAGACATATGTGAAGTATCTCATGGGTTCTAAATACTAGGCTGAAAGCCATAAATGTAAGGACAAGAGACAGTCCCACTTTTCAGGCTGTTCATGCTCTGGTGAGAGAAACAGACTAATGCAATCTTGAGGTTTAAGTGTTCTGGGACAGAGCAAGACACAGGAGGTTAGTGAAACATCAGTGTGGTCCTGCAGTGAAGCTGGA